CTTGAGGTTGGTGCTGGCATTACTATGAGTGGCAGCCAGTGCCATCTTTGCCTGTTGCATGAACTAGCCCAAAGTGAGCCTGTTCCCCCCCCCAAGGAGCTCCAGGTGGCACACATGGTTCTCGCCCTCCCCATTTCCTTCTCACAACAACCCTGTGAGGTTGTAGGCTGAGAGATGGTGACTGGCGCAAGGCCACCCTGTGAGCCTCATGGCTGAGTTGGGATTGCTCCCCACAAAGGAAACACATCTTCTAAAGAGAGGACAAAAAGGGAAACATATTTGCATAAATTTTACATATGCACATTTAAAGTTGTAGGTCAAATTTTGAAATAATTACTGTAATTTAAGTAGCAATGCAATCCAAGTCTCCATTCAGTGGCCATTGTGCCTGCTCAGTCTGCTGTCCAGGTGGTGATTTTGGATGGGCAAATTCAAAACTGCTCCCTGCTTTCTCTCCTTCTCTCTTTCACATTAAACCACACTTGGACAGGAGCAAAAGACCTCTGGCCTGTGCATAAATCATTTCTCTTCTTGCCTGTGGCAACCTTTCCCCCTTGGGTCTGGTGTGCTCTCACCTGGGGTGGCATTTTGATGAGGATGACGATGTCTGGATGTTGCAACACACACACACACACACACACAACAAAAGAACCCCTCAAAGGCATGAGCAGCACTGAGTCCACAAGGAATGGCTGTGTGCAAACCCCCTGTAGCCCCCATCCTCAGAACCTAAGAGCCTGTAAGCAACCATCAGCCCAGGAGAGAGTGGTCCCTGCTGCTTCATAGGTGTAGTCCACGGGTAGGCAACCTAAGGCCCAGGGGCCAGATCTGGCCCAATCGCCTTCTCAATCTGGCCCGCGAACGGTCCGGGAATCAGTGTGTTTTTACATGAGTAGAATGTCTGCTTTTATTTCAAATGCATCTCTGGGTTATCTGTGGGGCATAGGAATTCGTTCATTTCCCCTCCCCCCCAAATATAGTCCGGCCCCCAACAAGGTCTGAGGGACAGTGGATCGGCCCCCTGCTGAAAAAGTTTGCTGACCCCTGGTGTAGTCTAAGTCCAGTGTCAATTTATTACTCTGTATACTACACTGCTGCCAGTAGCAGCGAAATCCCCTGAGGAAGATTTGGAACTGCTTACACTGAGTCTGACTATTCACCCATCTAGCGTAAGGGTTGCTGCTGTGGCACCCATGGGTGCACGTGCTCCCACCCAAGCCTTCCCTGCTGCCTGTAAGTTCTGCTTCCCCTGCTAAAATTAGGCTGGAAAGGAGTACGCGAGGTTGCCATGTGTTTGGTGTGTCCACTACAAGTTTCTCCGGTCTGCAACTGTGCCCATTGGCCCCCAAAGGTTAGCAGCCATTGACTAGCCCAGTGCTGTATACTCTGACTGGCAGCTGCTGAACCCCAGCCTGAGGCAGAGTCTTCCCCCACACTTGGCATGTGAGATTTGTTTGGACTCGAGTTGTTCTGAATACAAACCCTGTGGTCTGACTACTGGAGATGAATAAGAAGTAGAATCATAGAATAGAATCATAGAGTTGGAATAGACCACAAGGGCCATCGAGTCCAACCCCCTGCCAAGCAGGAAACACCATCAGAGCACTCCTGACATATGGTTGTCAAGCCTCTGCTTAAAGACCTCCAAAGAAGGAGACTCCACCACACTCCTTGGCAGCAAATTCCACTGTCGAACAGCTCTTACTGTCAGGAAGTTCTTCCCAATGTTTAGGTGGAATCTTCTTTCTTGTAGTTTGGATCCATTGCTCCGTGTCCGATTCTCTGGAGCAGCAGAAAACAACCTTTCTCCCTCCTCTATATGACATCCTTTTATATATTTGAACATGGCTATCATATCACCCCTTAACCTCCTCTTCTCCAGGCTAAACATGCCCAGCTCCATTAGCCGTTCCTCATAAGGCATCGTTTCCAGGCCTTTGACCATTTTGGTTGCCCTCCTCTGGACACGTTCTAGTTTGTCAGTGTCCTTCTTGAACTGTGGTGCTCAGAACTGGACACAGTACTCCAGGTGAGGTCTGACCAGAGCAGAATACAGTGGCACTATTACTATAAGTGTGGGGCTATCCCCATGGCACACTGCTGGGGGGCTCCCTCGGGGCATGTGGTAGGTCAGTAGGGTTGACCAGGGACAGTCTGACCTGAGCCATGTTCAGACATAACACTGACCGTTAACTCGGCTTGGGCAAATTAATTTGTGTGCAAGCTGCGTGAAAGGGCACTCACACTGAGAGCTCCTCGCAGGGAAGCAAATCACAAAGTGATAGGCTTTGTCCCTGGGTTTTGAGTTCCTTGTTGTACTCCATAAGCTTTTCACAAGCCACCATGTTACAGGACATGGCATTTTTGAGTATAGCTTCCTGGATCTCTGTTCTGGCTCTGTCTCCCTGTCTGTCATGGAGGGATGAACAAATCTATCAGATTTCCTCATTTTCCCCAATCTTAAATTCATTTCTCCACATTCCCACAGTAATTTCCATTTTTTATAATTTCCCCTAATATGTATGTTTTTCTGCAATGTTGATAAATATGCATATTTTTGCAAGCAGTTTCTCCATAACTTAATGGATTTTTATATGGTATTTCCACTGATTTATACATTTTATATGCATTTTTTTACACATTACTTGGCTGGAGAACTGCATGACAAATTTCAGAAATGTGTGAATTTCAAAGGAAGGCTGTGTTACAATTCACATATTGTTTCAGAAAGTGTGGATTTTCATCAGTTTGCCTGCAACGGAGAACTGAGTTGAATTGCATCCCCCCCCCCAGCCCTCCCACTATGCCATCATTTCCTTTCCCTTCCTCCTTGTCTCTTTCTCATTTGCTTTCCCACCTCCACTTCACCAGCTTTGGCTCTCTCTCACCTTCCCTTCTTCCATACAACACTGCAAGGAGAGTCTTACACCCACCAGTCTGGCTGCCATCCCAAGGGGATTCATGCTGCAGGCCTACCCAGCTGCCTAGGACAAGAGGGGGATTTGGAGGGCCTTTGGTTCTGCTGCTGCTCCAAGCTCCCCACCTCCCCACAAGTGGGTTTGCGGGCACACACCCCTTCTCCAGCTGCTGCATCCCTCTGGTTCCCCCTCCGCCAAGCCTAAGAATGGAGTCGCCTAATTGTTTAAGCCACACAGAAAGAGCCATCCAGGTACTAAATTACAGGGTTGGAGCTGCACTGGCAGTCAAACAGCAGGCCTGTGACAAATGCAGTTAAGTGCAGTCTAATGAGCCTGGCCAGATGTGCTCCACCACAGCAGTGTGAAACTGAGTGGGGAGGATGAAAGAGGGAGACTGAGAGGGGCATGAAAAGGAGTCCTGAGGTTGCCCAGTTCAAGCTTAGCAGAACAGAGATCAGGAGGTAGATAAAAGAAGGGTTGGGAAAGGAAAATCTTATTAGGAGCTGTGGGAAGAGTGGGATGCTGAGAGCCGCCAGCAGGGACAGCCAGCTTCTGGGCAGCCTCCATTCTCCAGGCAGAGCTCTGCCACGTGGTGGGTCTTGGGTCTTGTCAAGGTTGGCAGGTCTGCCACCCACCACGAGGCAGGAGCTGCTCCAGGTCAAGCACTGCTGGAACCAAGAGGAGCTGCACAAGAGCACAGGAGTTCCAGACATGAATACTGAACAGAGAAAGCTTATTTACACCACTTCAGAACATCGGCCCATATAGCCCAGTATTACCAACACTAACCAACAGTGATCACTTTCAGGCAACCCTACTTGGCGTTGGGTGCTGAAACCGAGATGTGCCAAGGCTCCCTTGCACCCTGGGAAAGGAGCTGCATTAGCTCCCCGCATCACCTGCACCCTTAGTAAGGGACTAATAGAGCTCGCTGCCAGCCGACTGGGGAGGGCGCCCAACAGGACTGCTGCGATGGCCCCCGCCAGTCGCCAGATTCCTTCACTGAGGTGCCCAGAGGAGCTTCAGTATGCTGATGGCAACGTAGTGTGCGCACACTCAGAGGATGACCTCCAAGCCATCCTAAATATATTTGCAGAAGTTTACAAAAAGCTTTGCCTGTTGCTCAACATCCAAAAAACCAAAGTGCTGCACCAACAAGCACAAAACAACCCCTCTGCAGCACCACAAATCCAACTGGTGTAAAGTTGGAAAATGTCGATCACTTCTCCTACCTGGGCAGTTCTCTTTCCTCAAGGGCCAACATTGATGCCAAAATCCAGCATCGCCTGAGCTCCCCACCGTGGTTTCCAGCAACTGGTATTCAGAGGCCTACCCCTGCCTTCCGCAGCAGACGCAAAACATAGCAATCATGGCTAGCAGCCTTCCATAGTCTTATCCTCCATGAAATTGTGTAATCCTCCTTGAATCTCATTCATTGTTTTCATTGCCTTTTCATCTTGTGGCAGCCAATTCTATAGTCCAACTATGTGAAGAAGTGTCTCCTTCTGCAGTGAGCTAGCACGGGTGGAGAGAGGTGGTGCTAAAACTTTCCCCTACAAAGTGCTGGTTGTGGAGATTCAAGGAGGTTTTCACACAAGGGAAGCATCACCCACCTGAGTCCCCATCGCTGCCCTCTGGTGTTGTGCAATGCACCTGCTGTCTCTGACTTCCAGCATCTTCCACTGGGGTGAAGTGCAGCCAAGTGTAGCCTGGCTCCAGCAGGAAGTCTTGCCTGTGTGAGGTGATAGATCTGGTGGTAAGGAAATGCTGCCTACGGTGTTTGGGTAGAGGTAGCTCCTCCACACTTGCATGTCGTCACTTGAGGTTGCAGCCATCAAGTGATAATACTTGCCAGCACTTACATAAGCCTTTTAGAGTGCTTCACTTGGTGTTTTTTCTGTTGCTTCCTGTGGCTGTTTTTAATATGGAAGATCCACACATGTATTACTGATAGGTCGGCGTTATATGTTAATGTTTTACGTGATTTTTTTTTAATGGCATAATGTATTTACGTTTTTAAATGGGGACCTTTTAGGCAGCTGATAGCTCTGAGTGATGGTGTGTCTCCTGCTTCTTTTGCAGCTGATGTCTTGGAGCCCAGTCGTCTCACCAGGTGCCTTCCAAACCCTCTGGGAAATCAGCACTCCTCAGATTGCCTCAGCCGGTCAGTGTGGGGTTGTGTGAGGGAGCAGTTTGTAAGATGAAGCTGTACTTGTCTGGAAATGGGAGTTGTAGTCTGAAGGGCAGCAGGTTGGGGATGGCTGGGGAAGAAGTTCCAAACTGCTGCAGGCAACCTGAGCCTTTTGTTTTATTCCATTCCTGCCTGTACTGGGTCTAAGGTCACACATTACACAGCAGTGAACTCGGGTTTCCTCCAGGGCACGTGCTCAGCAGGGAGCCACAACCAACCCCAGCTCCCGGCCTGTGTGAGAGACCACTTTAGGAACACAGACAGTTGGCTTAATCAGAGTCAGAGCAATTGCCCCATCTAGCTCAGTGCTGCCTACACTGACTGGTAGCAGCCCTCCAGGATTTCACACGGGGAGTCTTTCTCAGTCCTACCTGGAAATGCTGTGGACCTTCTGCATGCAAACCTGGCCACCCACCCAGGGCTGGCTCAAGACATTTTGCTTCTTGAGGTGAAGGACAAGGTGCCTCTCCCTGCCCACACCCCACAGCCACTCCCCGGAACAGGCACTGACCAGACTGGGCAGCTGAATCCAGAGCCTTCGCTTCCGGAGGGCTAGCCAGGCTTTTTGGCCCGAGGGGAAACCTCCAGAGGGGTGCCACTGAGGCTGCCAGCCTGTGGGTGTGTGGACGCAAATGCACGTGGGGGTGCCAATCTGGGTCTTGACGCGGGTGAAATAAAGCCTAGTTTTGCCCCTGGCTGAACCTTGCTTAGCGGGTGCAGAGAGGGCTGAGGCCCCCACAGCTCTGCCTTGCAGTAAAGGGGAGCAGCCAGGCGGCTCAGTGGGCGTAGCTGGGAGGGGGCTGCCGTGGCCTCTCTGCCTTCCAGTCGCACACAGGGGGAGATGCCTCACTCTGCCTGAGGCAGCAGGGGTGGGGAACCTCAAGACGCGCGGCCAAATGTGCCCCTCCAGGTCTCTCCATCTGGTCCTGGAGCCTCCTCAGGGCCAGCTAGAGGATGGCTAGGGATGGGTCAGTTTTGGTTTCTCTCCCCCTCGCATTTTGGCAGTCTTAAGTTTGGTTCTCCACATTTATGTACTAGTGATTTTGTTTCATAAAGCCCTCTTGAAAATTTGTCAGCACTTTAGTGCAGCTCTTTCCTAATGTACATGTTTATGTGTGCAAGTTTGCCTGAGATGCACATTATTGGGGAGCATTTTTCGTAATGCATTTTGTAGGTTATTTTCAAAGTGCCAGTTTTTAAGGACAGCTGTGCTTCAGCGTATTGTTTTTGAAAGTGCAGATTAAAATTTGAACTGTGCCGCCTTTCTCCCCATGCCTAGCCCCGCCCTTCCTCAACCCCGCCCCCTCTCCCGAGGCCACACCCCTCGCTCTGGCCACGCGCTAATAGAAACTTTGCCTTTACAAAACTCTCGGCTGCCTTTCAATTCCTCGGCTGTTTTGCAGGAAACCATTTAAACTCATTTCTAAAAGATTTGCTTTTGATGAGATTCGGCAGCAACTCTCTGTTGACGGGGAGGCAGGGAAGATTAGCATCTCGTGTGCGCCGGGGATGGGGAGCAGCCTTTCATTGCCTGTGTGGGCAGCCACGGAAAGATGTCTGATACTGCTTTAGATATTCCGCGCTTCTCTCCTAGGGAATTTGCTTACTTTAGCGAGCTTCTCATCTGTTCTCTGGCTGCTGCTCCACATGCAAACGCTTCCCCGCTTCCCTCCGAGCTTCCAGGGCTGGGGTGGGGGAAGAGGAACACTTCAAACAGAAAGAAACATCTAAGGCAGCACCAGAGATGAGGGAGTCTTAATCTCCTGTTTGCTACATCCTCCTCCTCCTCCTCCTCCTCTTCTTCTCCTCCACGGCAATTAACTTCGGTGCCGCAAACAAAGATTAGGAATTCCAGGTGGGGAAGGAGCAGCCAGAGCCAGTGAGGTTATAAGTACCTGAGATTTTTGCTTTCATGCAGTTGTCAGCCGCTGAGGGAAAGGAGAGACACAAACAGGGAGGGAAAGATGCTGTCTCTCATGGCGCCAGACCAGAGCCTCTTGGTCGGGAAGCTTCCCTTCTTAGTAGTGACGCTTCCACATGATCAGAATCTGTGCCCCAGCCCAGTGCTGTTATCCTTGCATTGGCTGGAGCCCAATCCTGTCCCTTTGTCTTGGTCATGCTCCGCACAGGTGACCAAGGTTAGAGACAGGGAAGCGCAAGCCAGCAGGCCCCCCCAAGGCAGCCTTGGCAGGATCCCCCTCCAGCCCCAGCCCAGCCTCCTCTGTTTCTGCGCTGGTTGTGGAGGGAGGGCTTTTTCTTCCTTCCTTCTCTGCAAGGAAATCAGGATCCTGGGAGGAGGGTGTGTGGGTGCATTTCAATCCTTGGCCTGCCAACTGTGGTTCAGATCTGGATTGGGGCCCTGTGCCAGGAATATGTGTGCAATATCCTGCTGAAGTGAATAGGAGGCATGTTTGCTTTTCTCCGGTACAAATTCGGTGTAGGGCCTGTGTTTGTGAATGGTTGGGGTTGTGGGGGGTGTGGGTGTATGAGAGAGAGAGAGAGAAGTTCTCTTCCTCCTTTTGGCCCCAGCCCTGCCTTAGTTTTACAACCATTTGCACAAACTCAGTCACCTTCCTCCTTCCCACAAAGATCTAGTAGCAGTACTTACAGACTTGCTTAATGTTTGCAAGAGTTATCCAACAAAAATCTTGTTTTGCTTCAAGAGTAGGAAACTGCCAACACGTATAGCATTCTTTCCTTGAAATGCGAGGTAACCCACATTGAGCTCCAGTAGTGGTCTATTTGTAAATAACAACCTGCTTTTTATCCCTCCCCTCCTTTCCCCGCTAAACCGCGCTGAATGAGGGCTATAGCATTGGCTTTGAGATATGAGGATGTGCGCTGCCAGCCCAGAAATAAATAACATAAAAGTAAAGGTTTACAAATGGACAGCGGAGTGTGCAGGAGAGATGGGGGAAGCCCTGAGTTTTGCTAATTCATAATAATAACCTCACTTTACTGGGGATGCACAACCCAGGAAGGGTGCAGGAGGAATAGAGCCAAGGGAATTAAATTACATTTTAAAAATTGGAGTTTGCAGAATGGTAAAGGGAGATCAAATGACACTGCCAATTGGATGGCCCCTTTCAATGGAAACTCCCACAGCAAGCTCTAGGTTGCTAGAACTTATTCACACAGCACAGTGTCAAACTATGGAACTCCCTGCCACAGGAGGCAGTCATGGCCACCAAATCGGATGGCTTTAAGAGAGGACTGGACAAATTCATGGATGAAAGGGCTATCAAGGGCTGCTAACCACAATGGCTCTGCTCTGCTGCCACAGTTCTGAACCCCAGTTGCTGGAAACCACAGGGGGGGGGAGATGCTCTTGTGCTCAGATCCTACTTGTGGGTTTCCCAGAGGCATCTGGTTGGCCGCTGGTGAGAACAGGATCCTGGACGAGAAGGGCCATGGGCCTGATCCAGCAAGACTTTTCTTAGGTTCTAATGTAGAACATTCTGCATGGAAGCCCCAGGAGGCCATCCACACCACAGACTTCCCTCCCAGCTGGAAACCCTGGGAGTTGTAGTTCTTTGTAGAGAGGCTTGGGGTCTAGAGAGATATTAAGAGTATTCTCTGCACCCTTACCAAACGGCAGGGAGTGAGAGGAAGCCATGGCAGTTGTAGTAGTTTAAGACCTGAAATATACTCAGAGTCGCAAAGTGATTTCATGCTCTTTATTCAGCTCATAGTGGTGAGGAGGAATGAATGAAAGTCCCCTCAAAGTATCTGCTTTATATACATTATTTACACAATGGGCTGCACATGATTGGCTAATTCCGGAATTCTACTGTAAGCCAATCAGGTTGTGGATTCACTTCTATCTGGAGCATGATTGGGTAGTTCCTGCCAACCAATCATACTGCTGCATTGTTCTAGGACCAATCAGACTGCTGCATTCTGAATCCTATTGTTCTAGGACCAATCAGACTGCTGCCTTTTGGATCCTATTGTTCTAGGACCAATCAGACTGCTGCAGTTTGGATCCTATTCAACTCAGTACGTAACAAGACCCAAACTAGCTAACTATCAGTATGTCAGCACTTGGAAATATGAGCCATTCTTTTGACAATTTTTCTCCATCCCAAGCAGACCTGGAATTGTACTTTTCTGTAAAGGTGCTCAGAACTCTCTCTCATCAGTCCCTGACCCACCTGTGCACCTAGCATTCCTTGCAGGGAGGAACACAAGATTATAAAACTGATTTTAATCTGCAGTGCAGACGTGCACTTTTGCCTGCAGAAGGTATATTGCATGGGTTACGTGGCTGGAGCTGACAGGAGTTGCATTCCAAAATAGCTGGAAAATAGCAGGTTGGGGAGGTTGGTTTATTGCCTCATTCTGTTCTCTCTGGGCAATGCCAAACTTTTTTGTCCTTTTTTGTTGCCATGCTAGTTTGGGAAGTGACAGAACTTTACAGCATCCTCCTCTTGCTTTCCGTTCTCTCTGATGCCACCCATCCCCATCACCTCTCCCCTGGGCCAGCAAAAAATGCTCTCCTGCTTTCGCCCAAGCCAGGACTTAATTCCCCTTCTCCTTCAAGGTCCCCACAATAGGTTCTGGTGTTCACCACTGCTCATAGCTGTCAACCTTTAGGGAAGCTTTTAATGTTTGATGTATCACAGTATTTTAATATTCTTTTGGAAGCCGCCCAGAGTGGCTGGGGAAACCCAGCCAGATGGGCGGGGTATAAATAATAAATTATTATTATTATTATTATTATTATTATTATTATTATTATTATTATTACCTTTCCCTTTTCTGGCAAGGAATCCTATTCGGAATAAGGGAATTTCCCTTTAAAAAAAGGGAAACGTTGACAGTTTTGCCACTGCTTGGCTGCAGCTGTGCCTACACCAGAGGGAAGGTCTCTGTGTGCAGGCAGCCTCTGACAGCTGCTGTCCACAGGGGAGAGGGTTGGTGCACCGGCCGTCAGGAAGTGGCAGAGAGCCTCCAGCTCAGTGTGCTTCTTTTCAGCTGCTTACAGAGTGGCCAGGTGTGTAGCAAACAGAGCAGAGAGGGACGTAACCGATGGTGGCGCCTCACCTATGACTCACATTGGGGGTGAAAAAAGACATGACATTTTAGCAGTGGGCTTGCGGTGTGAGCCTGACTTTGCCACTTGGCTTTCAAAAGCGCATGGCTACAAGTCACGTGCTGCCTCCGCCATCCACCTTGTCCCTCAGCCAGCACCTCATGTGAGCCATTTGCTATGATTGTCATTACTGCATTTGCATGTTTATGCATTCATCCTTTGCCTTAGCTTTAAAAAACAGCAGCACCGAAAGCTGCAAGAAATTGCAAAATTGCTCCAGAAATCAGTATGTTAGGGACATCATAGGAGCTAACTGATTTATATTGTCCACAGCAGTCTTTCCCTCAGATTTACACATTCTGAAAAGACCAAAAAATGTGCCCCCTCACCTCCACCCCAGAGTGGAGCCCTGGAGAGAAAAAGGCCCCTTCGGATTCAATGCCACTCGCCCTCTGCTCTGAGAAAGTTGCATCTGTTTTCACCTGCCTTTATCCTGCTACGCAGACTCACTGTCCCTCACCCCCTTGCAGACCTTCATATCAGTGGGATACTGCAGCTCAAAGCAGTCCAGCGGGAATGAAAAACATGTCCTGCCTAGATGATCAACCATGTTGTGCTCACCCCACCCTCTCAAAGCAAATCCTTGGTCGGTTGCTCTAATACATTGGTAGTGCACCACAGGGAATATGTAGCCACTGAGGACATTAAAAACAAGCAAATACAATTGCTCTCAAAGCCAGAGGCCAAGTATTTGGCTGCTGCTGTTTTTCCAAATTGACTTGACTCTGATCAGCAGCTAGTTACCGTATATATGGGATGATCACTTTGGGAAGAGAGGGTGGAGGACTAGAGCATGGGTAGGCAAACTAAGGCCCGGATCAGGCCCAATCGCCTTCTAAATCCAGCCCGCGAACGGACTGGGAATCAGCATGCTTTTACATGAGTAGAATGTGTGCTTTTATTTAAAATGCATCTCTGGGTTATTTGTGGGGCATAGGAATTCATTCATATATATTTTTTTCAGAATATAGTCTGGCCTTCCACAAGATCTGAATGACAGTGGACCGGCCCCCTGCTGAAAATTTTTGCTGACCCCTGGACTAGAGTAATCCCATTTGCCTGTTAGTCACACACAGAGACACTGCCTCATAGGTTCCCAATAAGTCTGACTACCATAGCCTCTCCTTCCTTCATATTGTTCCGAAAGTTGGGTGCCAACCCTACTCTCTGCCAGGTGTTGGTGAGATCCCAGGGGGTCCTGGGCACTCTCATAGGGTCTGTGCTCCTCTGGAGATTTGAAGAAGTGGCAGAGACTGTTGTAGATTAAGAACTATGGCTTATTCACCTATTTACACCTTCCGTCTGCATGGAGAGAGTCCAGATCTTACAGCTTGGTCATTTCAAGAGGAGTTGTCCCCTATAGCCGTGCAGCTGTCCAGGGCATCTCTCCCAGCCAGCCTTCAGCCAGCCTGTCCAAGATGGATCCCAGACCTTGTTCTCCCCCCACTTCTTCTCAGAACACCTTGCTAAAACTCTCTTCCTGTCACTTCAAACATACATCCCATCACCTTGGCACCATCTGACTCCCCAGGCCAAAGGATTCCTCTCAGATGCCCATCAACCCCTTTTGTCATGTTAAGTCAGCCCAGCTTATACCAGGGTGCCAACTTGACTAAAATATTTTGGGGGCAAGTAAAGACCTGATAGATAGATGATAGATAGATAGATAGATAGATAGATGATAGATAGATAGATGATAGACAGATGATAGACAGACAGACAGACAGACAGACAGACAGACAGACAGACAGACAGCTATAGACAGACAGACAGACAGCTATAGACAGATGATAGATGATAGATAGATAAATAGATAGATGATAGATAGATAGATGATAGATAGATAGATAGATAGATAGATAATAGACAGATGATAGATAGATAGATAGACAGACAAACAGACAGACAGACAGACAGACAGATAGATACAGATAGATAATAGACAGGCAGACAGACAGATAGATGATATAGATAGATAGATAGATAGATGATAGATAGATAGATAGATAGATAGATGATAGATAGATAGATAGATAGATAGATAGATAGATAGAGATGATAGATAGATAGATGATAGATAGATAGATAGATAGATAGATAGATAGATGATAGATAGATAGATAGATTAGATGATAGATGATAGATAGATAGATAGATAGATAGATAGATAGATAGATAGATGATAGATAGATAGATAGATGATAGATAGATAGATTAGATGATAGATAGATAGATAGATAGATAGATAGATAAATAGATAGATAAACAGATAGGTGTTTAGGATTTGTGTGCCCTGCCTTTCACTGGCTATATTATTGATTATTTTATTGTTTACTTGTCACTGCAGTTTCATGACAATTTGTAAAGCAAATTTTAAAAAGTTTCATTGAGAAAGTGGGAGCGTATCTGACCTCCCCAGGTAGCTCAGTGGGCAGAGCATGAGACTCTTAATCTCAGGGGCGTGGGTTCGAGCCCCACGCCGGGCAGAAGAGTCCTGCATCGCAAGGGGGTTGGACTAGATGACCCTTGGGTGTCCCTTCTGACTTCACAATTCTATTATTATCGTGAATACGCAATAGCAAGGACACCTGGGTGGTTAAAGTGTCGTCAGAGGGCATGGAAGGAATGCATGAACACACGCAAATAAAAGGAGCCGTTGATTTGAGATTTTTTTTCCCCTTCTGGGACAGGACGCCCTTAGAAAGATCATCACCACCTTGGCTGTGAAAAATGAGGAAATCCAAAATTTCATCTACGTCCTCAAACAGATGCTGCAGAACGTGGAGGTAACTTGGCTGAGAGTTCAGGGGTCAGCGGAGTTTGATTTCTGCAGTGAGAGGTCCTGGTGCAGACCCTCGTCAAAAGAAATTGCATGACTGTATAAACAGCCTACTAGGTAAAGGGGACCCCTGGCCATTAGGTCCAGTCGTGGCCGACTCTGGGGTTGCGGCGCTCATCTCGCTTTATTGGCCAAGGGAGCCGGCGTACAGCTTCCGGGTCATGTGGCCAGCAGGACTAAGCCGCTTCTGGAGAACCAGAGCCACGCACGGAAACGCCGTTTACCTTCCCGCCGGAGCGGTACCTATTTATCTACTGAGTGATAGTTCAATAATAAAATGCTTCCTGTTGTTTGAGTTAATAACTCTGCTTCTGAGATCTTTCTTGACTCAAATCCTTTGCGGCTTTTATTATAAACGTTTTCCCGTGCCACCCCCCCCCATCATAAAAATCTGGCAAATCTCCACCTCTGCAGTCATCTCATTAAAGCTAGCAAATTTACAAGCCAGTGATCTACAACAATTATATGATACATTTTTGTATCAAGCTCATACGTGCCATGATTTTATCCTGCCAGGCCAATTCGGACCGAGTCCAGCAAGACCTTGAGGCAGAGTTCCAGTCGCTGTTCACCCTGCTGGACGAGCTGAAAGATGGGATGTTGATGAAGATCAAACAGGATCGAGCCAGCAGAACTTACGAGTTGCAGGTAAGGGGCACCTATATTGCAGGGAGATGTCTGGCCAGAGTGGTGCATAATCCCTGCATTGCACGGGGGTCAGACTAGATGACTCTTAGTGTCTCTTCCAACTCGACAATTCCATATTCCTCATGTCAGAGGCCAAGCTATCAGATTTGCGGATTCCTCCCTCCACCCCCCAAAAGCTCTACCTCTCTTTTAAATCAGAACCAGTGAAGGTCCTGTGTGAGTGTCTGGAGGCGGTTGGAGGATGGATGGCGGCTAACAGATTGAGGTTGAATCCTGGCAAGACAGAAGGACTGTTTCTGGGGGACAGGGGGTGGGCGGGGGTGGAGGACTCCCTGGTCCTGAATGGGGTCACTGTGCCCCTGAAGGACCAGGTGCGCAGCCTGGGAGTCATTTTGGACTCACAGCTGTCCATGGAGGCGCAGGTCAATTCTGTATCCAGGGCAGCTGTCTACCAGCTCTATCTAGTACGCAGGATGAGACCCTCCCTGCCCGCAGACTGTCTCGCCAGAGTGGTGCATGCTCTGGTTATCTCCCGCTTGGACTACTGCAATGCGCTCTACGTGGGGCTGCCTTTAGTTGCCGGAAACTGCAACTAATCCAGAATGCGGCAGCTAGACTGGGGACTGGGAGCGGCCGCCGAAACCACATAACACTGGTCCTGAAAGACCTGCATTGGCTCCCAGGACATTTCCAAGCACAATTCAAAGTGTTGGTGCTGACCTTTAAAGCCCTAAATGGCCTCGGTCCTGTATCCCTGAAGGAGCGTCTCCACAGCCTGGACACTGAGATCCAGCGCCGAGGGCCTTCTGGCGGTTCCCTCGCTGCGAGAAGCCAAGTTACAGGGAACCAGGCAGAGCCCTGCCTCAGACATGCTTGCTATAACATCTCTCTCTCTCTCTCTCTCTCTCTCTCTCTCCTCCTCTCCTGTTCCACAAACCACTCCCTGCTCCAGAACCAGCTGGCTGCTTGCACAAAAGCCTTAGAGAGCTCTGAGGAACTGCTGGAAACAGCCAACCAAACACTCCAGGGGGCTGAGAACCATGACTTCAACCAGGTACAAAGAGCTGCTCGCTCGACTTGCCTCCCTGGGCAATGGGCTCAGTGGTTCGGGGGGTTGGTCAGGTGTAGAGAGCTTGGAGGGTAGTCTCCCAGCCCACATATTTTTGAGAAACGGGGTTAAATGATGGCGGAACAGATGCAAGGCTCTGCAAAGGTGCTTAGCTTGTGTGGCTTTGGAAATATTTCGGGATTCCTGTTGTCGCCGAGCCCAAACCGGCCAGCGCTTCTGTGGGAATTTAGGTGGGGGGTCCTGTAAGCCACTGGCAAAGAGCGAGAGCATGAGCAATAAGACCATCATTATCAGATTACTATTATTGATTAAATGTGTATCCCTCCTGAAATATACTCAGAGTCGCAAAGTGATTTCATGCTCTTTATTCAGCTCATAGTGGTGAGGAGGAATGAATGAAAGTCCCCTCAAAGTATCTGCTTTATATACATTATTTACACAATGGGCTGCACATGATTGGCTAATTCCGGAATTCTACTGTAAGCCAATCAGGTTGTGGATTCACTTCTATCTGGAGCATGATTGGGTAGTTCCTGCCAACCAATCATACTGCTGCATTGTTCTAGGACCAATCAGACTGCTGCATTCTGAATCCTATTGTTCTAGGACCAATCAGACTGCTGCCTTTTGGATCCTATTGTTCTAGGACCAATCAGACTGCTGCAGTTTGGATCCTATTCAACTCAGTACGTAACAAGACCCAAACTAGCTAACTATCAGTATGTCAGCACTTGGAAATATGAGCCATTCTTTTGACAATTTTTCTCCATCCCAAGCAGACCTGGAATTGTACTTTTCTGTAAAGGTGCTCAGAACTCTCTCTCATCAGTCCCTGACCCACCTGTGCACCTAGCATTCCTTGCAGGGAGGAACACAAGATTATAAAACTGATTTTAATCTGCAGTGCAGACGTGCACTTTTGCCTGCAGAAGGTATATTGCATGGGTTACGTGGCTGGAGCTGACAGGAGTTGCATTCCAAAATAGCTGGAAAATAGCAGGTTGGGGAGGTTGGTTTATTGCCTCATTCTGTTCTCTCTGGGCAATGCCAAACTTTTTTGTCCTTTTTTGTTGCCATGCTAGTTTGGGAAGTGACAGAACTTTACAGCATCCTCCTCTTGCTTTCCGTTCTCTCTGATGCCACCCATCCCCATCACCTCTCCCCTGGGCCAGCAAAAAATGCTCTCCTGCTTTCGCCCAAGCCAGGACTTAATTCCCCTTCTCCTTCAAGGTCCCCACAATAGGTTCTGGTGTTCACCACTGCTCATAGCTGTCAACCTTTAGGGAAGCTTTTAATGTTTGATGTATCACAGTATTTTAATATTCTTTTGGAAGCCGCCCAGAGTGGCTGGGGAAACCCAGCCAGATGGGCGGGGTATAAATAATAAATTATTATTATTATTATTATTATTATTATTATTATTATTATTATTATTACCTTTCCCTTTTCTGGCAAGGAATCCTATTCGGAATAAGGGAATTTCCCTTTAAAAAAAGGGAAACGTTGACAGTTTTGCCACTGCTTGGCTGCAGCTGTGCCTACACCAGAGGGAAGGTCTCTGTGTGCAGGCAGCCTCTGACAGCTGCTGTCCACAGGGGAGAGGGTTGGTGCACCGGCCGTCAGGAAGTGGCAGAGAGCCTCCAGCTCAGTGTGCTTCTTTTCAGCTGCTTACAGAGTGGCCAGGTGTGTAGCAAACAGAGCAGAGAGGGACGTAACCGATGGTGGCGCCTCACCTATGACTCACATTGGGGGTGAAAAAAGACATGACATTTTAGCAGTGGGCTTGCGGTGTGAGCCTGACTTTGCCACTTGGCTTTCAAAAGCGCATGGCTACAAGTCACGTGCTGCCTCCGCCATCCACCTTGTCCCTCAGCCAGCACCTCATGTGAGCCATTTGCTATGATTGTCATTACTGCATTTGCATGTTTATGCATTCATCCTTTGCCTTAGCTTTAAAAAACAGCAGCACCGAAAGCTGCAAGAAATTGCAAAATTGCTCCAGAAATCAGTATGTTAGGGACATCATAGGAGCTAACTGATTTATATTGTCCACAGCAGTCTTTCCCTCAGATTTACACATTCTGAAAAGACCAAAAAATGTGCCCCCTCACCTCCACCCCAGAGTGGAGCCCTGGAGAGAAAAAGGCCCCTTCGGATTCAATGCCACTCGCCCTCTGCTCTGAGAAAGTTGCATCTGTTTTCACCTGCCTTTATCCTGCTACGCAGACTCACTGTCCCTCACCCCCTTGCAGACCTTCATATCAGTGGGATACTGCAGCTCAAAGCAGTCCAGCGGGAATGAAAAACATGTCCTGCCTAGATGATCAACCATGTTGTGCTCACCCCACCCTCTCAAAAGCAAATCCTTGGTCGGTTGCTCTAATACATTGGTAGTGCACCACAGGGAATATGTAGCCACTGAGGACATTAAAAACAAGCAAATACAATTGCTCTCAAAGCCAGAGGCCAAGTATTTGGCTGCTGCTGTTTTTCCAAATTGACTTGACTCTGATCAGCAGCTAGTTACCGTATATATGGGATGATCACTTTGGGAAGAGAGGGTGGAGGACTAGAGCATGGGTAGGCAAACTAAGGCCCGGATCAGGCCCAATCGCCTTCTAAATCCAGCCCGCGAACGGACTGGGAATCAGCATGCTTTTACATGAGTAGAATGTGTGCTTTTATTTAAAATGCATCTCTGGGTTATTTGTGGGGCATAGGAATTCATTCATATATATTTTTTTCAGAATATAGTCTGGCCTTCCACAAGATCTGAATGACAGTGGACCGGCCCCCTGCTGAAAATTTTTGCTGACCCCTGGACTAGAGTAATCCCATTTGCCTGTTAGTCACACACAGAGACACTGCCTCATAGGTTCCCAATAAGTCTGACTACCATAGCCTCTCCTTCCTTCATATTGTTCCGAAAG